GACTGGTCCATGATAAGGAGTCCTGGAGGTGCAGTGGATTATGCCTGGAGCTGCTAACCAGGAGGCTGGCAACTGAACTTTGTGGGAGATAATTAAGAAGGTCTGTTTCAGTCATCGGGAGAATATGCGAAACACGAACAGACAGTCTGCATGTGCAGGGTGGCAGAGAAGGCTTTACAAGAAAGGGATATGTGGGATGGCCTTTGCCTTGTCTGCCACAAACTGCTGTAGTCTCAGTTTGCTCACTAGCCACCATGGCCTTGCTCTTGTTCAAACTTCGTTCCCGTTCCTTCCAGCCTCAGAGCAACTGTGTGACTGTCTGGATACTTTTCACTAAATCCTGTCCTGACTGGCTCTTTTCTCACCTTTCAAGCTCTGTTCCAACACCACCTTTTGAGAGACACCTTTTCAGTCCACCTGAAGTGGGCCTTTCCTTTTTACACACTATTGTCATCATATGACTCTGATTCAGAGCGACCCTCTATGACAAGGTAAATCTTTAGAGAAGCAGATTGTCAAAGAAATCGGGTGGGTCTGAAACCCTGACCGTTGGTTAGCAGGTCAGCATTTAACCGCTGTAGCAGCAAGCCTCCTTTCATCACACCTTACCTTCCTTTGAAGCTGCCATCACTAACTGTATCTACATTCCTTCTACCAACCAGCCCCCCACCACTGGAAAGCAGAGATTCGATCTAGAACATCTTTTTCTTTAGTCAGACTCTGGCTCAGCGCAGTAGGTCCTGATCAGATGTTTGCTGCTGTGGTTAACCAATGGTGGAGAGCAGAGTGAGTTTGGAGGGAAAGTTGCAGTCATGCTGTTGGGAGCATGTCTATGGAGATGGGGCTCAAAACGTCAGCTGAGCTGGGGCTGCTGGGGGGGCTGAAGGCTTGGGGTTGTCGGACCGAGATTTGGGCCACCCCTGGCAAAAATGTAGGGTCGGTGAGTAGTCACAGACACAGTGTGGAGGCACGAAACCACTTAGAGACCAACTCCTGAGCTAACCCCCTTCCTTTAGGGAACAAATGCACCGGCTCTCCTCGAACCTACTACTTCTGCCCCACTCGGAGGCCCAAACGCGAACGTCGACTCTGCTGAAAAATCGCCACCACGGAGGAAGCCCTAGTGGCACCGAGAGTTAGCCGCTGGGCTGCTTAACCCCAAGGTGCGTGGTTCAAAGCCACCAGCCGCTCTCCAGGATAAAGTATCAGCCCGCTCCCGTAGCGATTACAGCCTCAGAAACCCTACGGAGCAGGTCTACTCCGCCCCGAAGATTCGCGACCGAAGCGCCGGCCGTGGGTTCGATTTTTGTTTGGGGGCAACCAAACTTAACGTCCGGGGCCCCTCGGGAGCAGGCAGGGTTTAAAGAAACGTCCACCCTCCGCCAGCCCTCACTGGGGGCCCCCGGAGGGGGCCCGCGCCCCGGCGGCCACTCACCACCCGGGAGCCGGCACTTCCCGCCCCAGCCCTCCCCGGGGCCGGAGCGGGCCCTCACTTACGCCTGTCTTCGGGCTATCAGCCGATGCATGGGAGTGGCCATGTTGGCGCAGCGCGGACGTGGCGCGCAGGATCCTGGGAAACTCCTCCGGGGGGCGGGGACTGGCCTCGGGCGGCGGGCGTGGGCGGAGCCAGGCTCTGCTCGACGGGCCGCGCGGGGCGGGGTCTGCGCCGTGTGGCTCCGGATTGGAGGGAGACGCGGAAGCAGGCTGGTAGGCCAACCGAGTTCGAAGGATGCACGTACGTACTGCGTGGATGAGTCAGGGGAGAGCGTCCCGGATCTAGCAACTGCACATACAAAGAGGAATGAAACCGTGTAATTTTCTCACCTGTGATCGTTAATCGAAAGAGTGATTTTAACAAGCCATTAAGGGCAAACGAATGTAACTTATTATTTTAATGTATTTCACGGCCATGTTTTAAGGACCAATGAGATTACATAAATAAAATGCGGACATTAAATGTGCTTCTCTGCTTGTAAGTGAGGAATTTAGGATATATGACTGAGATTTTTTTTAAAAATCATCTTAAAAAAAAATCATTTTATTGGGGCTCATACAACTCTCATCACAATCCATACACACACACATCAATTGTGTAAAGCACACATACATTCGTTGCCCCCATCATACTCAAAACTCTCGCTTTCTGCTTGGGCTCCTGGAATCAGCTCCGCATTTACCTTCCCCCCCTTCCCTTAAAAATAATCTTACTGGGGGCTCGTACAACTCTTATCACAGTCCATACATACATCCATTGTCTCAAGCGCATTTGTATATATGTTGCCATCATCGTTTTCAAAGCATTTCTTTCTACCTGAGCCTTTGGTAATAACTCCTCAGTTTTCCCCCTCCCTTCCTCATGAACCCTTGATAGTTTATAAATTACTATTATTTTTTCATATCTTGCACTGTGCGATGTTTCCCTCTACCCCCTTGTCTGTCTGTTGTCCATCCCCCTATAGATAGGTCATTGTGATCGGTTCCCCCTTTCTCCCTGCACCTTCACTGTCCCCTCCTAGTTTGGCTACTCTCAAGATTGGTGCCAAAGAGTTTATCTGTCCTATATTCCCTGTTTCCAGCTCATATCTGTAGCCATGTACATGCTCTAGTCTAGCCAGATTTGTAAGGTAGAATTAGGGTCATGATATCGGGGAGGAGGAAGCATTAAAGAACCAGAGGAAAGCTGTATGTTTAATCGGTGCTATACTGCACCCTGAATGGCCCGTTTTCTTTTTCTTTGTTTTTTTAAAATTATTTTATTGAGGGCTCATACAATTCTTATCACAATCCATCCATCCATCCATTGTGTCAAGCACTTATGTACATTTGTTGCCCTCATCATTCTCAAAACATTTGCCTTCTACTTTAGCCCTTAATACCAGTTGCTCATTTTCCCCCTCCCTCCCCACGCCCCTCTCCCTCATGAACCCTTCATAATTCATAAATTATTATAGTTGACTGGCCCATTTTCTTCCCACCACCCTTCTGTAAGGGGATGTCCAATTGCTTACAGATTGACTTTGGGCCTCCACTCCACACTACCCCTCATTCACATTATGATTTTTTGCCCTGGATCTTTGATCTTGATACTTGATCCCATTAACACCTCATGATCACACAGGCTGGTGTGCTTCTTCCATATGGACTTTGTTTCTCAGCTAGATGGCCGCTTGTTTATCTTCAAGCCTTAAAGACCCCAGACGCTATATCTTTTGATAGCCAGGCACCATCAGCTTTCTTCACATTTGCTTATGCACTCACTTTGTCTCCAGCGATCATGTTGGGAAAGTGAGCATCTCAGAGTGCCGGATTATTAGAGCAAAGTGTTCTTGTATTGAGGGAGTGCTTGGCACAATTGATGTACGTATGGATTGTGATAAGATTTGTATGAGCCCCCAATAAAATGGTTAAAAAAAAGAGTGCGGGCTGTCGTTAAAGTGTACCAGGGGAAGTAGGGGGAGACGAGGATGCCTCCCAGAACAGAGGGGACAAGGCTGCCTTCCTTTCCCAAGGGGCAGGAGAACAGGAGCTGGTAGGGCCAATGGGATAGGATTGCCACTCCAGTGGATTAGGAGAATGGGCCCACCCAAGTCATGGAACAGTTGCCGTCCCAGTGGGCCCAAGGATGGAGCTGGAGCCCAGGGCTGAGGAGCCTCTACCCAGAATCCTGAGGAGTCTAGAAGACCATTGCCCAAATGAGAGCGTTATTTTCAAGCCTTGAGAGCTAACACATTTGTTCTGCTAGGTTTGGGATTTGCTTGGTGATTTTGTTTTTTTTTTACAATTTTGTTTCTCTAGATTCTAGAACCACTACGAGTGGTTCCAAATGTCTCAGGCTGGGTTCACTAAAGGTTTAGCTGCAGGAAATGGTATTTGGTTGTCAAGGCTGGCAAGTCCGTGGGCATAAATCAGACTGGAGAAGACTTACCTTAGGTCTCTGCAGATCAGACAGCAGGCTGGTGCCTCGCTGGCTTCAGAGGCTGACAAATCCAAGATCTGCAGGCAAAATGGCAGGCTTCTGGTTCATGCCTCAAGAATACAAGGGCAGAGGAGGAGTTCGATGCAGGATCCAGACAAGCAAACTACGAGAGTTTTGCCAGAAGTCCATCAATACAACACCACGTCTGAGGAAATGCCCTTTCCATCGTTTGGCTGCTCACAGCAGACCCCCTCATGGAAGAGATGGCGTTATGTGAAATCTAGCGTGGAGAATGATTGCATCATTGCCTCTCTGCCAAACTACATCCCACTGTCCATCCACTGAGTTTCGAAGCCCAGTTAGGTTGACATACAACCATCAGAGTTGTCAACTAACTTTGAAAGAAATTCCTTTATAGCAAACACGAAAAGGCAGAAACAAACAACAACAAAAAGAGATAGCAAATTAAAAGAGGAAGCAAATGATGTTCTTTGCGATTATATGATTACACACCTAGAAAGCCAATGAGAAATAGCTAAAGCTCCTAGAAAGTTGAGCATTGGGGCACTGGGTTTTAGGGTACAAAAGAGACACTATCTGGACTATAACTTCAAGAGAACATTTATGAAGTCTTAAAAGAGACAAAGACGCAGATGCATCATCAGATGAGGGCGGCCACCACCTGCATCTGAGAGCTCACGATCGAGACTTGAGATAAGTAGGGCACAGTGGACAAAGGAAACACAAAAGCGTGGTTGGTGGCAATGACTACATCACAGTTACATATGAGACTACGGAAATAGAAAGGGGACCATGATTGGGACAAGCACATGTTAGAAGGGCTTACAAGATTGGTCCAGGGCCTTCCCACCAAAGCAATCAGGATGAAATTGACTATAGGATTCCTTGTGCCAACCCCAGGACAGTAACCTCCACCAAGGACACACCTAGGCAAGCCCCCGAGAGAGAAGCTGTCCCTCCAGGGCCTGACTGAGAGAGGGGTGGAGGTAATCTGCATGAGAGCAAATCTTCCACACCCTTGTTTCCTGAGCAGAAAGCATTCAGTGGAGGCTCAGTCTAGGTGGGGACCCTGTAATGGCTTCTGGGCTGTCACTGCCATCCACAGACTTTTCAAACCAGGGTGCTCAGAATTTAAGCTCTGATACAGGCCAGACGGAAAAGAAAAATACAATTACTTGCTTTATTTTACTGGCATGACTGAGCTAGTATCACTCATCCCCTGGAGGCCCATGGGCCCGAGGAACTCACAACCTTGTCCAGGCTAAAATTCACATGCTAAGATTGTGTAAAACTTAACAGAGAGCTTTATAGTAAATCCCAGCTAGTTTTGTATGGATTGTGCTAAGAGTTAAACGAGCCCCCAATAAAATGATTTTTTTAAAATCCCAACTAGTAAAAATAAATGAAAACAAAAAATAGCTTTTAATATGTAAAAATTAAAAATTCATGTGAAAAATGCCATTTCTGCCTAGCCAGAGTAAACGCCTTACTTGTCTTTAAGCAGAGGATGCTGCTTTGCTGGGAGAAATCCCGCTCCTCCCACCACCAAAGTGTTTTATAGTAATGTAAGTTGCATCAAGGAACGTGGGTTAGGAAGGAGTGAGGTAAACCTAAAAGGCATATATCAGAGGGAGAATTTTGTCTCTCAGAGCTAGCTGCCTTGCTATTGGCCACGATGGCTGGCTGGTTGGTTCCTGTCCTTGCCCTGGCCTGTTTGTGAGAACCAGGAGCCTCAGTTATGCATTGGGCAGCTAACTACAAAGACAGCCGTTGGAAACCACCTGATGCTCTGAGGGAGAAAAAGGAGGCTTCGGTAAAGATGTACAGCCTCAGAAACCTTCTTCGGGGGCTGCTGTGAGTCAGAAATGAGTGGTTGGTTGGTTGGTTAGAATGTTGAGAACAAGAACAGGGCCTGCTTGCTGGTTGGGTGCAAACTGCAGCCACTCAGAGTCCCAAGCTTAGGAGAGCTTGATTGTCGAATTTTATACTCAAGCCTTGAGAATATCTTGAATCAGAAAAGTCCTGATCTCAGTACTAGGAACTTGTATGCACCTCCTTAGCTGTTACCAACAGGCTCAAGTTCTGACTCAAATTCCACCGCTGTGGTCCTTGTGTGCCTCATCTCCACACTAAAATTCCCTGGTCAGGACAGCTTGGTCTGTTGTAGATTAGCAGCCCATCAGAGTGAGAAGGACTAGTGGAATCCCTTGAGAGAATAAATGTTGAGCAGAAAAGCATAATGATGTCTACTATATCCTAAAGCAGGATCTAGTATAGGACTTTTTTATATATACAGTTTTTTGGGGGGGACATAATCCACACAATGTGCAATTCAATAGTTCAGTCATATAAAGAAGAGTTGTACAATCATCACCACAGTCAGTTTCAGAACATTGACTTCTTTCTTGTGCTCCTTGCTATTAGCTCCCCATTTCCCCCAACCTCCCCGGCCAACCGATTCAGCCACCCTGGATTTCATATGCTAAAACCATACAAAAACAAAGATACATAAAAGCTAACCGCAATAACAAAATAAGCTAGAGGGGAAAAAAACACAATTAAAAAGAAAGCAGGAAGTAAAAAACTAGAACAACTGTG